CCAAAGCAGAGCCAGCAGCTGGCGTCAGATGGGCTGGGGTGGGCTCACTTCTCTGCGTTCTCCTGGCACCTGTGGACTGGGGGCATAAAGGTATAAATCCATCATTCTGGAAGAAAATGAGCAAAAAGCAGCTTCTCTTTTACCATTTTCACTTCCCAATTCCTGCGCCTGAGGATTTAGTGTTTCAGTTGTCAGCAAGGAAAACACAGGCTGTTTAAATCCTCCTTTTCTTCAAACGAATCCCCATCCCCAAATCCCTCCCATCTTACAGGAAGACCCCAAGGTCACCGCGTCACTTGTGATTTTTAGAATCAGCAGGAGTATTTCTAGCTGGTTATGGGGTTTGTTTCATACTTATATATATATAAAAATATAACTGTATTTATATTTCCCATGGTCCAGCTGGCATGATGGTTCTGGCATGGGTAAAAGCTCATGGTGCTTGCCAGGCAGAAGGAAACCTATCGGCCCTTAGGAGCAAGTGTGACCTGCTAGCAAATATTGGGTTGAAACCCTGGTGGCTCTGGGGATTTTTGCGTTGTCCTGGGGTTTTCTGTGTGGCCCTGGCTGCCCAAGGGGCTGGTAGAGCCCGTTTCCCTGCCACCGCACCAGTCCCTGTCTTTGAGGCATCAGTATGGAAGAAGGATGCAGTCTTTGCAAGCTTCCTGGAGTTTTTGGAAAATAAGTTTGGTCTTTGCAGGCCTTCTGGGGTCTTTGTAAGCTTCCTGGAGACTTTGCAAACCTTTGGGGTTCTTCACAAGACATGCAGATTCTTTGCAAGCTTTTTGGGGTCTTTGCAAGCCTGGGGGTCCATGCAGAGCCACCGCAGCAATGTTTGCAGTGGGGAAAATATTAAATCCTTCTTGGGGAGGCTTTGGCAAAGCACCCGCCCCTTGCAATGCCTCTGTTTGAGGAGGAAGGAGAGGGACAATTGTACCTAAGAGGCCTTGAAGGCATCCTCACCGTACCTGTGTACTGTGCTGGGGACAAGCGCAAGGACCTACCCATCCTCATCGCTTGGGTGATTCCTCCCACCAGTTGCTAAACCTTGGTTTATCTTGCAAGAATAGGAATTTTCAGGAGGCAAAAGTGCTATTAGTGGTGCAGGCTCTGCTCTGTGCTATCAGGTGGTAGATCAGACTTGGTAAGCCATCACGGGACGTATACATAGACGTGTATACATACACACAGGTAGATGTCTGGAGGCTCGTGGTTTTGTGGCTACAGTCAATCTAGTCAGAAGGGTTCTCTGTTTTTTTTAAAAAGCAGATCTGCCAGATTAGGAGCTGTTCTGCATAAACATCCCCGCTGCCAATGGATCTCTGCCTGCCCTAATTTCGAGGACCTGGGAACAGATCCCAGTGCTGGAGCTTGCAGACAACACCGGGCAGCTGATTCCTGAGGATTTTCACGTGCACATCACGCAGCATCTCCTCCCCGGGGAGGACCGAGCAGGTGGGTGCAAGGGGATTTTAAGCTCCATGGGTGCCTGGTGAGGGGTTTTGGGGTAGTTTTTTAGCTCCCTTACTGCAGGCACGTGCCTTATTGCAAAGAGTAGGAGGGCAATGTTCCCCCCACGGAGTCCTTTCAAGCTGACCTTTCACGTTTAGGAGGTGCAAACAGGTGCCCATCCCAATCGAGCCACGAGGCGCTGCCCATTCCTGCCTGTTCCTGCCCATGCTGGCTTTATTTTGGAAGGGGCAGGCAGCTTCGAGGAGGCGAACCCAACCCACTGGTGAGGATGAAGGAGCTTGGGGGAAGCTGAGCCCACCGGTGGCTTTATTGCTCTCCTAGCGAGGGAGATATTTATAGGGCAGGGAATTTAATGCAAAGTCGGGGGAGAGCATGGGCAGGGCAAGAGTGGGGTGTGTGCATGGCTCCATCCCCGGGGGAAAAAGCAGTTTTATGGGGTGCTTTGCTCTTAGATTGCCAGGTATGAAGTCTCCCAGCAAGCAGGTGCCTTTATTTTGTGGACAAGAAAGGATGGAGTGGGATTTTTGGTGTTTTCTCACCCGGGAGAAGGCAGTTGCAAAGCCAGCTCTGACAAGTCCTGGCCACAGATGTTTTACCAGAATGGGGACCAACCTCCCTTGGGTTTTACTGGCTTTCAAAGCATTTTTTACTGGTCCAAACCAGACTCCCACCCTTCTTCCCTGGCTTCCAAGTAGGATGGGGAAGGCAGGTCCCTGGGTGGGGACTTAGCACCAGCCTAGGATGCTCCTGCTGTGCTGTTACAGCTGCGCACCCAAAGAAAATGAACCCTCACGCAAACCGGAGCGGAACTTGATAACTGGTTTGATGCCTTACCCTACTGCAAATAATTAGGCTGACATGGCTCTTAAAAGTTCCTGCCTGCAATTACGCATGCCGAGTAATAAATAAGGTGTAATTATCGGCTTGGGGAGATTATCAAACTTTCCTTGATAGAGTGGCGGTGCAGGATGGGTGAGAAGAAATGCCCTGAGGGAGTCTGGGCTATTAGTGGGGTTACTGGGGGAGCACTGGGGAGTCGGGTCTTGCTCCATCGTGGCTAGAAGCAGGCTGAAATAGGGAAAAAGGTGAAGCGAGCCCCAAAAACCAAGGCTGACCAAGCTCACTCAATCTAATGGAAAGGCGGGATCCCATCCGTCACGCACGTGGGATCTTAATAGCAATTTCTCAGGACAAGGTGTTATTAGGAAGAAACACTCAGCTCTGAATGGGCCAGACGACTTAAAATGGTCATTCTTCCTCTGCACGGGCATGTCGGTGCTAATAGCAGGTGGAGGAGGAAGGAGAGGTGAGTGTAGGTACCACCCAATGAAGACGAGGTGTTTTGGGCTTGAGCGAGCATCCGCAGTGACCGTGGCAGCTCAAAATGCGCCGTGACTAAACTTGCCGAAAAAAAAACCCCAAACCGAAAATGAAGATGAGGTTTCGGCACTGTGTCTCCATCCGTTCTGGAGGCGGGTGATGCCGGCTGGGTTTGGAGAAGCACATGTTCTCAAACCCTCTGCTGTAGCCCTCACGCTTGCTGGGAGCCCCAAACCACCATCCTCCTCCTCCCTCCAGATTATAGACCATACCAGCCTGACCCCGTGGGGATTAAGGTGTGTTCCCTGTCCGGCACAGGGCTCAAACCAGCTGAGCAGGATACGATGCTAAAATCACAGCAGGTAGCAAGCTCAGCACTGTGCCCAGTCCAAACCAGTGTGACCAGCAGCCACGAGTGGGGAATCCAACTTGCGGCTCTCTTTACTAAAGATGCTACCTTGGCCAGACTCTTCCTCAGAGGATGCAGCGAGCTCTTTGCCCACCATGCCAGTTCTGCATCACCCAAGTTTGAAGGGGTTTAGCTGCGTGTGGAAGCTTGTGCTCTCCCGGGAGGGCTCAGGAGCCAACAAAATTCACAGCTCTCTGGATATCAGGAGTTTGGCTCATGCTGGGTTTCGGGAAACGGGATTTTAGCTAAAATCTCGAGGAAGGCGAGGGCCTGGAAATGCCCCTAGTGTTCCCCACTCGGGCATCCTGGCCACCCCAGCAGGCTCCCATGATCTTATTAAAGCCGTGCTTGTGTACAAGACACGGTGCTGCTGGTTTTTTTTTCCTGCTGCAATTAAAGTCGGAAGGAGGCCTTTAATGTAGACTGGCTGGGAGACGTTTAAAGCAGCTGGTTTGATCTTGCAGGGGAAGGTGCGCATAGGTTGCTGCTCCTCCGGCTGAGGACGTATGGCTCGGTGCAGTGGTGGGGACCGGTCCTTCTAGCTCCACTGAGCTTGCTTTGACCTTTTTGGCTTGCAAGGGGTCCTGTTGCTCGTGAAACCAGGTTTCTTCTGGCTCCAGCCCTCTCCTGCCCCTTGCATCGCTAACACCCTGTGGGAACAGGGACCATGTCGTCCCGTGTCCTGCGTGCTATGAGGATGAACCTTGCAGCAATGGGGCTGTCGTTGTGCTCTCTATCCCCATGCTGCCTTTCTCCTCCATCTTAACTGCCACCTCCATCCCCGAGTGCAGTGGAGACCTCCTGCCTCACTTCAGCAGG